TCTCATTTGATTTTGATATATACTTTATGATTTTAATTGTCTCATTGAGATGGATATTATGATGTTAATTGTCTTATTTGGTTTTAAGATGAGTATTCTAAAGTTAGTTATCTCTTTCGATTTTGAGATGACTAAAAGGTAAAATTATGGATATTATAAAGTTAGTGGGTGTAAGTTTATATTTCTTATATAACATGTCAATTTTATGGTATTAATTGTAAAATTGATATAGTTTATTACGTGAAACCAAAAAAATCTCTAATGAAAATTTAGCTATGAAAGATTTTCGGAACAACTCTTTTGTTTAGATTGTTTCCTTTTTTTTTGCGTCACCTTAATTATTTAACTTTTTAATAGAGGCATATGAGTTCTTTCTGTCTACTCTGCTAGTCAAAATCTGTTAAAAATCTATGTGGTAGTGACAAGTGAATTTGACAAACTCTTGTGATGGAGTTAGCGTTGGAAAAAACGACGCTAAAAGAATCGAGAGGGATCAGCAACCAACCAAATAGATTGAGGCGATGCTGTTGTGGCATAATAATAATCATCATCATCCACATCATCCCAAGAAGATACATTCAATGGGGCCGGAGCCCAAAACATCTTAGAATCCGATTCAGATTCCACTTTTCCCGATTTGGAACCCTTATTCTTTCTCTCCTTATCTGATTTCTTCTTCTTCTTCAAAGTATCAAGCGACGCAAACACGTTGTTGTTGTTAATAACCAACAAACCATCGTTCCTTCTTCTTCCACCACCGACCATTGTTAAAAACTCACCGCCGCTTCTGTTGTCGTTGATTCAAATCAAAATTGTGACTGAATCGAGTTTTATATATATTCAAAAAGGTGAAGTGGATATAAAAAAAATTAAGCTTTTGTATGATTTTATTTAGTTGAGAAAACGAAAAGGGGGAGTTTGAGATCGGATATTGAAGGAATAGAGAGAAATTGATGAGAATGTGTTGTTGCATTGTGTTGTTTTTTGTTGTTACAGTGAGTTGTGACTAATTGATTTTATTGAATAAGATATAAATCTCAACACAAAAAAAAGTTAGGTTTAATTTATCTATTTGGATTGTTTGGATTTGGTATATTGGGTAAGAACAAAATTCAAAAATCCAGAAATAATTGTTAGTGTTGATTTTTCCAACACTAACACTATCACAAGAGTTGGTCAAATCCACTTGTCACTGTCATGTAAATTTTTAACAGACTTTGACTAACAGAGTAGATGAAAAAGACTCATATATCTCTATTATAAAGTTAAAGGACTAAGGTGATACGAAAAAAAATTAAGAGACCAATCTGAACCTAAGAGTATAGCTAAATAGGTATTTTGCCAAATTATTATGGTAATTAGAGATTATTCTCAAGGTACTCTTTAGATATCACAAGAATTTCATTAATAAGGTTGAAAGTAAATTCAACATGAAATACAATAATATTTAAGATATTTCAATTATTAAATGAGACTATTTGATCTCAATTATAACTACCTTAAAGTAAATTTAAAATTTTGAATACTTTACTACGTATTGGTTATAAGAATTTTATATATGATATTTCTTAAAGGCATGTGTCCTCTTAAACAAATAAATATTGAATTGTTGAAAAACAAAAGGGCAACCATGAATATTAATTTTACAGGTTGTTTCTACTTCTTATTGAGGTAAGCATCACTCTCTCGTATTCAAAAGATTTAATACCAAAACAAATTGTGACATATATGTTGAGCACGATTTGTGCTACATTTGAGACTCTCTTGTACCCATACATTGATCATAGTGGAGTTTGTTTATTGGCTTGTGCCCGTGGTTGTTTTACTTCTCACTTTGAGAAGGTTTTTTCCACGTTAAAAATCTTGGTGTCTCTTTGTGTTGTTGATTTTTAGTTGCTGCATTATTTGTTGTTGCTCCTCACAGATTCAACAAGTTGGAGAAATTATATCTGCTGAGTATTGTTCTATTAGAGTTGTTACTGTTAATTATTGTTAAATTTTCCATCAACATAAAGTTTTAAATTTATCATTCTTACCATTTTTCTTTGTTTTAAAAAAGTTTTTCTTAATTTTATTAAATTTATAAATAAGGTTCCATCAACTTTTGTAGAATTTTTTAAAATCTTTATTGTCCATACGAGAAAATGTGAATACATACACATCATATATATACTCATAAGATCAATTTAAATTGTCCTAACTCCCCTTTTATTTTAACCTTATTTCCGATATAAAAATATTCACCCAAAAATCAAAACATGTGTTTTTACTATTATCATTAATTAATATTATTGCTCATATAAAATTATCTAACGAAAATCAAAATACATGATTCCATTATTATTAATTAATAAAAATTATTATAAATTATAGTGTTTTGAGTTTGTTTTTCATTTTTTATTAAATTTTATTTATGTTTATTTTTCAATTACTATCTACATATGCTTTTAATTTTATTACTTACCTTTTACCATTTAGACTATTAAGAAAATTTTATTATTCTTTTATTTTAATTCTATAAATAATTTTTTATAAAAATATTTATAATAATATATTTTCAATTTATATTTGAATTTAATAATTATAAATAATTATTTTATATAGTTTATCTGTGCATCGCACGGGTGTACGTCTAGTAAGTTATTATTGATGAAACTAGAATATATATATATATATATATATATATATATATATATATATATATATATATATATATATATATATATATATATATATATATATATATATATATATATATATATATATATATATATATATATATATATATATATATATATATATATATATATATATATATATTGAATTTAAGCTAAAGACTCACTAATCAAAGACTGGACATATAAGATCTTTCATATAATTGTTGTCACTAATGATATCTTAGATTAGTTTTGTTAAAGATTTTAATATAATCAAAATCACATAATTTTAACATCTAATTATTTAAATATTTAATCATTAAAGATTTTAATATAATCAAAATCACATAATTTAAAAATTATCTAATTAATTAGTTTTGTTGGTCATAGGAGAACTTGCATTCTCCAATTGTATGAGTTTGTTTCCATTTGATATTATTAATAAAATCTTCATCATTTATTCTTTCATTAGTTCTGTTGACTGAAGTTTCTTCATTATTTTCATTTTCTGAAACATATATTTTCTTTGATAAAATTTCTTTATTAACAAACGATGTATCTTTGAAATGTATATTTTTAATTATTTTTGCATAAATTAAAAGAATAATTTTAACATCTAATTATTTAAATATTTAATCATTAAAGATTTTAATATAATCAAAATTACATAATTTTTTTAAAATGATATATCTAAAATATAATATTTTTTAAAAAATCTATTTAAATTAATATTAAATTTAAATGATATTTTAAAATTTAAAAAAAATTATAAAAGAATAATAAAATATTTAAAATAAACTACCTTTTATTTATTATGGGATCACAAATTTCTAAAATATATTTTTTATAATTTATATAAATTCTAAATTGCTATGTAGGTTAATTTGTAATTTTAAAATGAGATCAAGTTTGAAGTCTTTATAAGACCATTTTTGTTGTTGAATCAAAACAATTGAATCATATGAAATATCTTAAAATATTTAATAATTTTATGAGAATTTTAAAAAATAAAATAAAAGTTATTTTCAATTGTTTTTTTATAAATTAAAATAATAATTTTAACATTTAATTATTTAAATATTTATCATTAAATTTTTTAATATAATCAAAATGACATAACTTTTTAAAACGTTATATCTAAAAAATAATGTATTTTTAAGAATTTATTTAAAATGACATTAAATTTAAGTGATGTTTAAAAAAAAAATATATTTTATTTATTATAAGATCACAAATTTCTAAAGGATAATTTTGTGATTTTAAAATGAGATCAAACTTAAAACTTTTATAGGACCAAGTTTATTGTTAAATTAAAAAATTGAATCGTCAAAAATATTAAGGTAGATATCGAACCCAAAACATGTCACTCTTATTTCATTCCCAAAAACAATGTTACAATTGTTTGACCAGTTATTTATTTTGAAATAATAATGTAACTAGATAAGAACCTAGATAAGAATCCGTGCGATGCGCGGGTCTACATTAATTTGTTTTTATATTAGAATTTTAATTGTAGTTAATATATTTTATTTTGATAAATATGATTAGTCAATTTATATTTATAATATTTTATTTCAAACTATATATTCAAAATAATCAAGTAAAGTAAATATATATATGTTGAATTTTTAAAAAATAAACTTTTTCTATTTTTATCTCATAGTTTCAAATACATTTAATTTTTCTATGTAATTATATGTAATACTATTGAGATAATTTATTAGAAATTTTTTGAAAATATATAAATAACGGTATAAAACAATTATGCACTGTCCAATAACTTGAAATATATATCATAGTTATTGAGATGATATTTGAGAGTACACATATTAAAATATTGTATATGAGATGATATTATGTAAAGAACTTAAATATTAAATTTTATAATTATAGTTAATAATATAAATTTATGGTATGAAACTAAATAAAGAGTGAGACAAAATATTTTTAAAATTTATAATTATAATGAAGAAATGTAACGAACTTTTAAATTTCTATTTAATTCAGAATATATGTTTTCAAAAATAAAAAAACCATATAGCTTCTTGTGGAGTAGTACTGCTGAAATTACAAAGAAATTCCCTGTAACTTGGGATAAGATCTGTGATCTCAAAATGCTGGTGGTTTAAACATAGCCGCATTGAGTGAATGGAATTTGACAACTTTGGGAAAGCTGTTATGGAATATTCAAATATGAGGCTTACAAGCTTTGGTTTAAATGGATCAATGGCTACTATTTGAAATCTCAGGATATCCTGTCTTGACAACCCAAAACACACTATTTTGATTTGCCAAAGAATTTGGTTAACTGCATGGACATTATTGTGCATATATAGTATTGAAATGAGGTTCTTCAATCTGGGAGTATACAAAACTTCCAAAATGTATAACAGTCTTAGAGGAGAGAAACAACTTGTGCCTTGGAAGAAAATGTTCTACAAGAACTTGGCAAGACCAAGGGCTCTTTTTTATATGTGGCTGTCCTTCACGGGGAGAATTAATACTAAGGAAAGAATTCATAAATTTGGCATTGCTACTGATTTAAGGTGTGCTTTCTGCCATGAACAAGAGAATCTGGATCACCTATATTTTGATAGCCAAATAACAAGGAAAATATGGATTGAATTTTGCAGTGGATGGGTTATTGATGAAGACCATCTGCTTGGTATAATGAAAAACAGTGGTTGAGCATGAAAACTAGGAAGAAGGGTTGGAAGAGACAAATTTTAAAAGTGGCAATAGCTGAGACTGTGTATGGCATTTGGCAGAATGGTAATGCCATTATTTTTGCCCATGGTAATGTAGATACCAATATAATTGATAACTAGTCGATAACCCGTGCTGTCGCACGGGGCCGGTCGAGAATTCATAAAACATGGAACTAATGTTGTCATGTAACAGTAAATTCGTTTTTATGTAATTCAATAAAAGTTCATCTAATTCGGCCAAATTCAGTGTATCAAACTTATTTGACAATATTAAAAAATGTAAACTGAAATCATGATTGTGTAACAAAATAAGAAACTGTGATGACTCTTCAAAATAAGAAACTATCACGAGTCTTCAGATACAACGCAACCAGCTTGGAAACGATGTTTTCAACTTTTTGACCCGCACAATAAATTATGCAAAAATTAGACAGCATTTACGGAAATAATTTATATTAAAGAAAATATTTGTTATTATGTACTTACTGATCAACAAAGAGATTGGAAAACTTCTTTGTATACAACATTTGTAGTGATAGATGTTGATACATTCATACTATCATGCATTAAGATCTTCAGACCACTTTTGCTTGTAACTCTTGAAATGGCTACATACAACTGGCCATGACTGAATACAGGAGTAGGAAAATACAATCCAATTGTATCAAGTGATTGGCCTTGAGACTTATTAATTGTCATTGCGTACGACACAATAATTGGGAACTGTCTCCTAATCAACTTAAATGGCAACGGTGACTCGGAAGGTGACATAGACATTCGAGGGATGTAAAAGATGTTACCAACATTCTTACCAGACATGATTTTTGCCTCAATAACGTGATTTGCCAACCTTGTAACAATTAGTCTAGTTCCGTTACACAAACCATCGTTTTGGTCCAAATTCCTCATAAGCATTATTGGTGTACCAACCTTTAATCTGAGTTTGTGATTTGGGACACCTGAAGTCCTAAGCTTGCTAAGAAATTCTGGAGTAAGACATTCATATGCTTCGGTGTAACTTGAATCAGTTCTATCAATCGAATCAAAACTCAAATACTCTTTGTCCTCACCTAAGAAATGGGAAAACGCGAATCAATCCATAATGTTTTTTCAAGAATAATTTAATAACGAAACATCTACACGAAAATAAACATCAAAAGAAAAAATAGTTTACCCGGTATCATGTCTAACACGTAATGATTAATTTTATCAACAACTTCAATGGTTGAAGCAAGTATTGCTTTTCCTTGTAGAAATTCTACATTTTGAAAGCCGGCAAGCAAATTTGGTTATGTGCTTTCAACTATAGCTCTTATTGGATCCTCAAAATTGGAAATTAACAAATCCGGAGGAATTTCTATATCAGCTAATCCATCGTTAGGTTCACATATTTTAACGTCGCCAACATTTAATATCCATTTAGAGAATTCTGCAAGTTCATCATAAGTTGTACCGTCCCTCCCATTCTTTAGTCTCATGTTTTTTGTTAGTGTTAAGACTTGGCAATAGTCCCACACATAAGAAGAACAAATGGAAGCATGAACAATATCAGAACGGCCTGCTCTTGGAACAACTGGAAGTATCTGTCAAAAATCTCCTCCAAATATAACAACCTTGCCACCAAAAATTGTATTTGCAAAACCCTTATCGCTCATGACATCCTTAAGGGTCTTATCCAAGGCCTCAAAACAATTCTTATGATCCATGGGTGCTTCGTCCCATATTATGACATCAGTAGCTTCGAATAACTGTGAATGCTCAGAGTCTTTGTCAACATTGCAAGTAGAGTTGTCAAGCGTTGGAATGGGAATTTTGAACTTCGAATGGGCTGTTCTACCACCTAGCAATAATAAGGAAGCTATGCCACTTGAAGCAACAACCAGAACAATTTTTTTATCTGAACGAAGTGCACTTGATAATGTCCTCCACATAAACGTTTTACCGGTTCCGCCGTATCCATGTAAAAAAAACACCCCTCCGTTTTGTTTCTTGACGACGTCCATTATGGTTTCAAAGATTGCACGTTTCTCATCTTGACGTTCAAATGAAAAGAATCAATACAACAATAGTTTAATGAAAACATCGATGATTTGAATAATGAGGAAATACCTGTTAGAGATGAAAATAGATTCTGGAAGTTTTGTCGCTCTAAATCAGCATCGTAATCACGTTCATCAAAAATCAGTCTATTGCCGACATGTCGTGTTATATACAAATCTGGAAACGGCATATCTTTGAATTCACACAAGCTTCTTCTATTTGATTGCATCATATTCTCAATCTCAATTAATGTGAGGTTTGTCAGTTCTGCAGTTGACAATTGCATGTCTTCCAACACAAATACAAACCAAAATAAAATATAACTATTATGTACAATAGAAATCACAGTGTTGATGAATATAGACATGCAAAAGGATCGTTAACCTTAAAATGACAGTATCATGGAAAAGTTCAGTATAATGCAAGAGCATCAGACATTCGGGTTCATTTAAAATGTTATGTTTTTGATCAGTAGCTGTGACAAAAGGTGGTTGAAGGTAAAAGATAAATCACAGAATTATTCTATTCTGTGTTGGTGGTGAGTAATATCAGATTGCATTATATATTTTTATTACTGATGAAATAGCAGCATTGAAAGGACTTGCTTACTGGAACTTATGATTCTTTGAAAGGGCAGCATTGAAAGGTGCTGTTGAATGGAAATGATGTGAACCAGTTTGGTAACAATTGAAATTCTTAAGTTAAGACCCTATCTACATGAGTTGAAATTACATTACGACAATGAGAACCTGTCAAAAGACTTAAGTATGGTTTGAACTGTATGATATGTAACATATATATGGAAGTATAAAAGGATTGAAATTATTGCATCCAAAGTAGTTTAAAAGGTATTATAAGAAGAAAAACTCATTATAATAGTTTCGTACGGTTTGTAATTGTATGAAATTTAACAGAAGTATTTAGGTATTTGTTAAGTGTACCTCTTATTCCAGTGACAATTCTCTGTTGATGAAGAATACCGTCAGATAGCAACTTCCAAGTCTGTTGCCAAACATGTCGCGGTCGATTAACAGTACCAGACAACAGCATCGTGACAAATAGCTTCCTCAAAAAATTACCGGAACCCCAATCTTTGGCCTCATTTATGGTTGCAACATATTCTTTGTCGTCGTTAAGAAATCCCATCTCAAAGCATGCATCTCTAAAAATGTCGCGGACTACTCCACCAACCTTTTTTATATCGTCATAGCAAGTCGGTCCCTTGACAACCGTCAACATCATTCTAAGGTAATAGAGCTCACCAGTGCTTGGAGGAACCCAAATTAACCGGCCAATCGTACGACCTCTTTTTCGAGGTCTCCATAAACGGTACCTTTTATCGTAAACGAACTTGGAAAGAAACGCAGTGTATGTTAAAGTCTTTGCATATTCATATTTTTTGTTTGACTCCATCCAAGCTGTAAACATTGATTCCTTTACAGTTGGTTTTTCAAGAACATTGTCTATGAAATCATAGTCAGTGTAGTAAACCGGATTTTCGCCTTCCAGATGAAAATACAACCTTTCGACAGAAGGAGATCTACCATGGATAGGATATGAAAAAATCCTCCAACACGCCTCACTCGGGGAAACGTACCTGCAATCAAGGTACTGTTTGATTTCATCAACATCTGTACCAAATGAACTTCCGTCTGATTCGGTCCGAACAACCGCTGCAGTTATTCTATCGTAACCTTTGTTAATATACTTGAATAAGTACTTGACAGAAGTACCTTGGTTACACCATTCCATATTAATGTGCGCCTGATATTTCTTTAGAAGATATGCATTATAAGGAACTACATACCTATTATCAAGAACAATACTTTTTTTCAGAACAGTAATGCCAGTATCCCTTCTCCTATAGACGGGATAGCCATCTTGATCGACAATGGTTTGAGGCTGCCAATTTTTGGGAAAGAATTTAGAGCATTTACCATTTTTCATGCAAGGGGAAGATCTGTTAGCCAACCCACATGGACCATGAATCATATGTGTCTTTACCAAATGATTTAATTGTTTATCATCCGTTTCTGCCGGTATTTCTGCTGAAATAATGTTGTTGATGTCATCCGGAGTGGGAAACTAGTTCTGGTGATGCATGAAAAGTAAAATGTGTGCATGGGGCAAACCTCTCTTTTGGAACTCAATGGTGTATATATCTGGAAGAAATTAAAATACAGTAAAACATTAATTTAAAATCATTGGTATAGAATAGGGAAGAATTAAGTATTACATATTTAATTTCATGTGGCTCACATGCAACAACTCTGCCCAAGACATGCTTCTTTGTTATATCATACAATAATTCGTCAAACTTCACTTTAAAAACCCTTGAGATTATATCAGGACGATCTTGAGGTTGAAAATTCATGTTGTTAAGAAACCTCTGAATCTCTGGCCAACATGGATTGCAAGTAAAGGTAATTAATAGATCGGGAAATCCAATTTGACTACAGATTGCCATTCCATCAAAGTATAATTGTTCCATGTATCTGCGACTTCCAACGTATGTTGACGGCAACACCACTCTTTTGCCTTTGTGGGCTCCTTCATTTGAAGATTGTTGGTGTACTCCTGACAAATTGGAGTATTTGGATACTCGTAATTTTTTTTTATGCTTACGTATGTAATTGAGTCGCTGTGACTCCATCATAGTGAATCCATCAACCAAAAATTGCTGAAACAATCTCCTTGACCTGAGCAGTGTGTGAGCTTCACGTTGTCTGGTCTGAATGCGAAAGGCCAGCCATTCTCTAATAGTAAGTTTGTTCATCTTTCCTTTTTTTTTGGGAACTGTCTCTCTGTGTAGAACACCAAGTCTAAATCCATCTTCCCCGTACGGAAACAGAAGTGGATATTGTAATGCAAGATAGCTCGGATGAAACTCACTTATTCGTTTTAGTCTACCGCTTTGTCTTTCAAGGATAATATCCCTTT